CACTCTGTCGTGATTGAATAAAAAAGAGTTACCTCAAACAAAAGGTAGCATGCGGTAAAAAAATACAAGCACTCAGTCATGTAATTTCCTATTCTTTGACTTTTGCGATATTTAGTTGCTATACGGATGGGACTAAATGACTATGCGCTAGCCCGGTGTGGAGTGTTGTAGCCTTTTTTTGTTTAATCTAGTTTTCTCATGGTCTACAAGGTTTCGTGTGGTTTGTGTGTGTTTGTTTTATGCTTTTCCACCGGGTTTCTTCTAGTTTTAGCGGCTTATTTTTTTCCTTTTCCATTTCCATTTTTCTTTCCTTTTACTTTTTCAATGCATGAAGCTTTTCAATTTAGAATATTTTTAAAACCATGAACTTTTTCAAATTGATAAATATTTTTAAAGTCATGGATTTTTTTTATTTTTAAAAAATTCATGGACATTTCCAAAATTAAGGGGAAATTTAAAACTCACAGAATTTTAAATTCATGGTCAAATGTTTTTAATTCATGATTTCTTAAATGATTTAAATATGAACTAAAATTGCAAATATTTTTATAACTGTGATTTTTTAAAATCCATGCATATTTAAAAAATTCATGACTATATTTAAATTCATATTTTATTCTATGGAAAAACTGGTTATTTTCTAAGAACGGGAGCTGTTGATTTTTACTATGGAGCGAATAATGTTGAGTACCCAAGCCACATGCCAATGTGCTAGCTAGGCTGCCCCGCCGTAAATTTTACCCTCTAATCAAATCATTTCTCAAGAAAACAAAATCAAATCAAACGCCAAATAAGTAGGTAGGCCCACACGCCAACTGTCGTGCAACGTCTGATAGACGGAGTGCTGACCTTGCCAGCCACACATGAACTTTGGACGAGATTATGTGGTGGTAAGGACTTTGGGTATTAAAACGTGTCCAAGAACTGCTCGAGCATGCGAAGAATAATCTCATCAGGGGCGATGGACAACATGCGCCATTGCCCCTTGTTAGCACGGATTAACCAATTTTTGCCTTGAGATAGTTGCACATTGTAACTAGTCTGAATGACCACCATCTAGCGAAACATGTACACAGTTGTCGATCGAAAGCATGTGACAGAATATGGTGGCTAGATGAGACCATACTTTTTCTATAATACTCCCTCCATAAAGAAATATAAGAATATTTAGACCACTAAAGTAGTGATCTAAACGCTCTTATATTTCCTTACAGATAGAGTACGTATTAGATCACACTTGTACTAGAAACATCAAAATGATGATTTACTTCAGGCAAGTGGGTCATTTTAAATTATTTCTTTACACACATTTAAAAGTATGTTGTTTCTTGGGAGATGCTAGGCATCGGTCGGGCGAAGGGCACACTCAAGAGACGCTAACAGTCGGTCTGGCGAAGGATGTGTTCGATGGGCCACCTGCCAAACAGTTTGTGATACAACTTAAGTGATATTTCTTGCGTATATAATTGTTAGAGAGAAAAAGATGTGTGACACATTCTCTTTCAGTTTGCAACATATCATCTCGTGGGTATGTCAAAACCTTGTAGAAAATGTTGCAATAATTCAAATACACACATGCAGTATTATTTTTTTACGCAACAACTCTCCATTGGTTACAACAAAATCCCTGAGAGAAATGGTTACCACGTAGACAACATGCAAACCAACATTTGCAGCAATGCGAAAAGCAAATTTGCATCATGGAGACAATGTCGGTTCAAAATCGTTGCAGTATGGCATCCCTGTGTTTGCAGAAAAGGGTGTGAGGGGAATCGTTCGTTTCCCTTACTTCTTCTTGCTACACACTCCTTCCATTTTCTCTTCCCATTTTAACGTACACTATTTTTAATCGATGACCACCCCTTCCGCGGATGCTTGACCGTCTGGTTGGAGGAGAAACAGCCCGGACCAAAGTAGGCCATCAACCATTGCCGAGCAAAGAGCATGCACACACGCGAGCACACATGCCCTATCTCAACTAAGGACCACAAGAAGGATGAGCAAAAGGGAGCGGCACAAGAATGGCTGGGGTCTTGAAACGGTTGGTGTTGTGCATAGAGTAGCAAATTAAATTGGCACGTCATCAACCAGACTACCATTGACAAATGGGCCTAGCTAGGCTACAGTCAGCAAGTTGTGCATAGCACACTAGCTGGTTATTATCGGACCATGGGCCGAAAATCTTCCTGTGCGGTACATACATGGGAAATGGGCCTATGTTTGCTAGCTTTGTCCCGTCGGTTTGTTTGCTGGGAGTAGTCTGATTAGTGCCACCTCGCTCAGAAAGGGAGGTGGCAGGGCCGGAGGTGGGTATAAGAAGGGGCCGTGGGAAGATGGTAAAAGGCATCTTTGCGCTTGGGGCAATGACACAGCTAGTGAGGTAATACCAAGGCGCGTCAATTGCTGGTTGAAAACTATTTCCAAACCCCCTCTTTGGCTCTCATGGGTCATTGAGAATTTCTGAAAGGGCTCCCTCTCCTCCTCGGAGAGGGCAAGGCCCTACAAATTCAATATCAAATGTTTATTTTGTGGCTAAGAAAAACATTCTTAATTCCCTTTGTACTGTTTGTCTTTGCTCGCTTTTACTAGATTAGCCAACTTACAAATTCTTTTGTGTTCATGTTAGCACTTACACTATTTTTGTGTTTATAAGTCCTCTCTCTTAAAACAGAATTGGGAATTTTCTAATGTTTTATGTTTTTCAGAAGTTCGTTGATGTTCTTCTTGGTAGTGGTACTTAGCAATGTGGGCCCTGTTCTATTACTTTGTCAGCAGTTAAATCATAAAGCTTCATGTACATATTTACTGTTCACTTGAGCAAGTTTGATCCTTTACATTTGCATGTAATTCCGACGATTTTCCTCTAAATCCAAATCTTCACGCAATTTCATGTTTCGTTCCTATAACGCCATCAAACAACTTTTTCCTATCACATATTCTTGTGTTTTCAGTCCTGTAGGTTTTCTACATATCATGACATCTAACTCCTACTCCTTTTCCATCACATCACGAAGTATGTAAAATCCTGTTAACTAAAGAAGCCCCAAAAATGACAAGAACAAGGGCACTGGTTAATACACCCTCCGTAAACTAATATAAGACTGTTTAGATCACTATTTAATCTAAACGCTCTTATATTAATTTACAGAGGGTATACAGAAGATTCCTTACCTTACCTTTCATTATCAACCATCATGGAACCTGAGCCCATGCCACAAAGGCAAATAGAACTACTCCCTCCTTTCATCTATATAGGGCCTAATGCGTTTTTCGAGGCTAACTTTGATCAAATGTTAGAGCAATAATATATGACATGCAACTTACACAAAGCACATCATCAAATTCGTATGTGAAAGGAGCTTTCAATGATATAATTTTCACATTATGCATGTCATGTAGTATTAATTTTATCAATAGTTAAAGGCGGTCTTGAAAAACGCATTAGGCCCTATATAGATGGAAGGAGGGAGTATATACATAACCAGGATGGGATGAAAAAGATTTACATCAAGCATGCATAGAGTGGTGACCAGCAAGCATGGTGAGCCGTGGTTCCTTGACCAATGGACCTAGGCACGCTAAAAACCTACAGTCATTCAATCAGCTAGTTGTACGCAGAGCACACCCTGTCAGGATGTAACATCATACTTCGGGCCTGAACACTGTGTTTATGAACTCCTTCAGGTTGTTGCAGGGCAAGATCTGGATATCGAGATCGAGAGGTTTGAGCAGCTTCTCTGAAGTCTTGGGGACGACGCATTTCCTGTAGCCCAACTTCGCGATAGCCATCACCCGCTTATCCATTCTTGGCACCTTAAAGAGGGAAAAATGAAAGAAACTTGAACACGGAGAGATCAGGCAAAAATAATAAACAAGCAACCATGACAATAAAATTGGATAAGCAAATGCAAATTATTTCTCTGTAATTTCTGCAAAATTGGAGTGTATGGGGCAAACTGAAAGATGAACAAAGTGATAGGGGATTGTTGCCACATAGGAGTGTACTTCCAATAGTAAATAGATTTATTTCTCTGCAGGCCGAGCGACAGTGATAAAACTAATGCATGTTGTCCACTATGTTTTTAAAGCATCCCTAAGGCGACGCCTAGGCGTCGAAGCGCTCCCCCTCCGCTTTGGAAAATCGACCGCTTTGGGCGCCTAGGCGTCCAAAGCGCCCGCCTAGGCGTCGCCTAGGCGCCAAAGCGCCCCCCCTCCCTAAGGCAGTAAGGCGTCGCCTTAAAAACATAGGTTGTCCACATACATTGCAGATTAGTCTTCCAAAAGTTTGAGTTCCTTGTTTATGCATGACCACTTGACACAACAAGCAATACTAGTATTTGATGGGTGGTCAGAAGTTCACTAGCATTTATTCGGAATGTATCTATGAAATGCATCTAGCAAAAATAATGTCCAAAATGATGACGGACAGATTGTTTTCTTGTGCATTGTGGACCGAGGCATAGCCCGGCTGACACAGGCGGGCTGATGCGCCCCTGCCCACCCGTGTTCGTGCCTCCATGCTCGCAACGGCAGGTTGTCACACACTCTGCTTAATTAAAGACCCAGGGGTTTCTCCCCCCTGCGGCGTTTACAAACCAATATCCATTTAAACAATTTATGGTAATTGCCTGACCCAAAAGATTTATTTTGCACTTCTGCCATGTATGAAATCCATAAGTGAAAAGTACATAATCAGGTATAGCAAAAGGTTAGCCGTTGTAACATGCATTTGCATAATTAGGAGAAGCATACAAGCCAATAAATGGCTTACAGGTACTCAATAGCGTTGCAAATTCTTCACGGGAACCATATCTTATCACAATATAGGGGGGGGAAGTGCTAATTAAGTTGTTTTCCGGGTCAGGGCACTGTAGTTGCTGGAACATGGTTAGTGGGGCATACTTCTCCTATGAACCTGTTAATAGCTCCATGGCTCTGCAAAATCTACTGGTGGTAGTAATATTTATTGGCTTCAGTAAAATGGTCGGAGATAACAATTGCTAAGCACTGTTATAGGCTTGGGGAAATAACATAGGTGATCCTGTTTCCCAATTAACATCTTCCTTATTATCTTCCAAAGGCACATTTTCCTCGTCAAACACAAGCTCTTTCCTATAAGCCGCAAGTACCAACTAAGAATATTCACAGCCAACAAGGGTCACACAAAGCAGAAAAACGTATAAACTTACAGTTCTAAGTTCACCACCAAGGCCAATCTCTCCAATAAATGCAATATCATTTGGGATAGGGAATTCCAAGAAACTGAAAACAAGGAGGAAACGGGTTACTTCGACAGTTACTTCGATAAACAGATCTGCATCATGATCCTAACACAAGGGGCATGTGCAAAGAGGTATTTAAGGAGGGAGGTCCAGTACTTATACCAACTGAGCATATTGGATGTAATACCATCTTATATTATGGGACGGAGGGAGTACTTAAGACCTCTAAAACATAAACCACAAAAGGAATGACCTGCTGCAAATCGAAGCTGCTATGGCCAGATCTCCTGCAGTCTCCGTCAGCTCGAACCCACTGACCACATTCAGATAAATAACCTGCATGGCAAACAGAAAATAGTACCAGAATCAGAATCTGGGAACAAAGCTGGAAACAGAACGTCTAAAAGATTGATTTATAGTCAAGATTGACCCAAATCCTGGCACAGTACAGAAAGTGTCAATAAAATTTGCTACAGATAGGCCACTGTCATCCATGTAATAATTTAGAGCACACCAGCATTTGTCTCAATGCCCCTACCAGAGCACATATGTGGCTTGGCAGAATGTTGGTGCAAATTAGCTCATCAAGTCTTTTAAAGGCCAATCAAGCAACTAACCAGCCTACACATGACACCAGCTTACTGATTGTGTCTCTAAATTAACAAGGAAACCTTGCATGCAACTAGAAAGAGCTAAGATTCAGGAACTGAGCTTACATTATCCTGAAGTTTTAGACCTGCCTGCTTCATAAGAACCTGTAGGGTTGAGAAAAGAGGTTAGTTGGCATTATTTGTTTTATTTCTGCAGCTCTATCACCAAAATGCTGGGTTAGCGGAGCTAGAATAAGCTTGCAACACTATCCATCTGCCTTATCTAATCTGGGAATACTGCCGATCCAGCTGGATCTTATATGTATATTTACTTTAGACATACACTATAGGGCAGAATGCTTTATAGGATGGAAGTACTATGGAAACTACTAAGTGCTTACTGATATTATCATCTCAACCCTTTTTGACTTTGTGCCAACAACTTTTCCTTGACCAAGAGAACCAGGAACAGACAGTGCCTGAAAAACAACACTTGTAATTCTTGAACTGCAATCTAAAATGTGCAAAAGAAAGGTGAAATTTTATTCGAAGCAACGCTGAAGGAAGTCTCGAGGAAATTAATTTTACATTCCATGGTCTCAACTCAGCTGCAATATCCAGAGTACCCAGATGGTCCAAATGGTCCTCACAAGGTCCAACATAGAGTGAAATGACAAAAACGTTATAAACAAAGCTTTTGTAGGGAGTATGCGGCCTATTTAACAGATTAATTCAAGCTTCATGCAACTAGCTAGCTTATGAGCAAAGCTGCAGTACCACATGCCCAATTCAAAAGACTGATACAAGTTCCAAAACAGCGAGTCTAGTTGATAACACAATTATTTCTTAAGTTTCCTTACTGTTATTACATCCTATACCAAAAAACCTTAACAGCAAACGACAAATTCCATTTTGACAAAATTAAGTTCAACACAACATTATGCTATGAGAACAAAATAAACAATATGAATTGTTGGAAAGAAAATAAATCACAACTCAAGAATGATATCATATCGAGTACCTGAACTTCAATAGCGAAGGTTCTGGATCCATCCAAAACAACAGCTACAGCAAGCCCAGCCAGTATTTCAGAATCAGAGTCATGCTCAGTTAAGAACATCTCACTGGGATTCAGAACAGCTTGCAGACCGTGTTCTGACATTTCAAATACACCAAGCTGGCCAAAAAAAAAGGCATAAGTGGCACACATTTGCTTTAGGGTCAGTTTGCGGCTGATGTGCGGTGCAGTAGAATCCAGTTTGTTGCAAGAATCTTTACTAACTCGTGACTAGACGACACCCCACGTGTTGCCACGGGAATTGGTTGCAATAAATTTCCACAAGATTTGATTATATGAACATGAATATTCCAATTAGTAATCTATTGCATATGTTTGATCACATCAGATGTGCACTCAGTTACCGGTAGAGAGTTAAAAAAACATACGTGTGGGAGAAGAAAACGAGTATGAAGGACACATGCATGCATGCACTTAATTTCTGAAGCTTATTCAGGTGATGAGGTGTCATGGTTTTTTTTTTTTGAGAAAGAGAGAGAGAATGAGGTGGCATAGTTGCATGTGCTTCAAAATAGTTAGTGGGGGCGGCTATTTAGACATAAAAGATCCCAGTTAGATGCTGTTATGGCTTGAACAAAGATGCTGCTAACGAACTATTTCCCTTTAACTAACCATACATCCAAAATTGAGAAGTGCTTTCAAAAGGCATAGCAGTAACAATAGTAGATTTTGCTGTCGTCATAAAAAAGTAAAGTCAATTTCATTAGACAGGTCCGTGAATACTATCTTCTAGGATTTGCTGAATAAACATGTTGCATCCACTCAGAATCAGGAAGGGGCCATTTTGCTGATCTTCCACGATCTTATTTTTATCTAGAGCAACACCTTTTTGGCTGGAGGAAGTGTTACAGAAAAAAAATCCTAACCATGCAGACGAAATATTACTAGCCGTCAGAACTAGAATATCACATCGGAAGATAATAGGCAACAAAGAAAGCAATACCTTAAGAATAACAGGACAGATAAATCCAACACAGATGCTTTTTATACAATACAATAAGATAAGAAATGCATTGCATTTGACAAGTATGTGTGTGGGTGGGGGGGGTATACATATACCTCGTCTGTTGAGCCGAAACGATTCTTCACCGACCGTAACAGTCGATGAGATAAGCATCTCTCTCCCTGAAAGAAGAGCAGCAAGCTTGTTAGGCTTGCACTGTATAATACATGAACTTGCATAAAAAGAGTAAAGTTGCACGGTTTTTAGAAATATACACATTTTACACCTTATTAGTGATAAACAATAGTGCTCCCTCTGATCCTATGTTTTCAAGGCGTCGCCTAGGCGACGCTTAGGCGTCAGAGCGCTCGGGGACGTCAAGGCGTCGTCGTCGCCTTAGTTTTCTGTCTAAGGCGTCCGCCTTCTGCTGTTGAGGCGTCCAAGGCGTCGCCTAGGCGGATAAGGCGCCGCTTTAGTTGATTTTGGACGCCCTGGACATGCGTGGGCAGGTTGAGCGGGAACCAGCAGCTGGCGCGCGCCAGAAAGAGGAATTGGCGGGAGGGAAGAGAAATTGGGCGGGAGAGAGGGGGTAAACAGAGGCAGGAGAGAGAGGGGAACACACCCGTGACTCCAAATCGAGGGGAAAAGAGAGAGGAGCTCTCTCCTCTCACGCCGCCGGCCCAGATCCGCTACTCCTCCGCCGGCCTCCCCCTGTCCGGCCAAGCTCCTCCTCCACAGGCCCTTCCCCTCTCCGGCCAAGATCCATCTCCGCCGGTCCTCCCCCTCTCCAGCCAAGCTCCTCCGCCATATTAGTACCCCTACCGCCTAATAATAAGTGTCTAAGGCGTCGCCTCGCCTCGCGCTTTGAGCGCCTAGGCGTTGAGGCGCCCCCCCAGCGCCTTAAAGCGCCTGGGCGCCTTGAAAACATAGCTCTGATCCATATTAGTTGTCGCTCAAAGGCTGGATGTATTTCAGTTTTAGATACATCCGTTTGAGCTACAACTAATATGGATCGGAGGGAGTATTACATTTCTCAAAGGCTGGATGACCTGGAACATTGTATGGAGGCAATGACAAAAATGAAGATTGATGTTTTTGTTAGTGAAATATGCAGAGAATGGAAGATGGTCCGAAGAATAGGCGAGACACCATTTAATGTGGAAACCCTTGCAAGGACAAATCACGATCGTGCAAAGGGGGGAAACAATATGTGAGGATATTAAAGTAGGATCTTACAATGAGTCTCTTCCTATATTATCTACTTGTTGACCTCACGGTCTACGGCAGGCAAATGTATAGGGGACAAAAAAGAACTTCATGTACAAGCACACCCCCTAACGCAAAAGGAAACAAATTCGGATCACAGCTCAATGCATTTAGTGTTACGGTGGTGCACATATAAATAATTACAAGGTCTCAGCCAATATCTCCTACTTGGGAATCAGTTCCTGCATCAGTGAAGAAAATTCACTATGATGCAATTCCATTGATTTTACTCACCACTGCATAGGATCCCTATCTCATTTCAACACCCATATAGAAGACTCAAGATTCTAGAACAAGTTGTGTTTCAACGATAAAGAGAACACAATGTGGTTTTTGTGATTTGCCATGCTATGTCAACTGCGCAACTCTGAAAAAAGGGAGGAAAACTCTTGTTGGTATATGATTAATTTCTTTCAGCCAATTCATGATTGTTTGAATTTTCTTTAAAGAAAAATTCATCAATTATCACCTGGGTGTTAATAATGTGGACAAAGGAATTTTTTGGTAGACAATTACTGCTCTTAGTAACTTTTTAACAGGAATTGTGAGCTTACAGATCCTTCATAATAAAACAATTATATTTAAGGCATTCCCCAGCATGTATCGCCAAAAGAGACACATTCCCAGGCAGAACAAAAAAATTGATGCATACACATGTATAATCTACAAAGTTATATGAAAATTCTAAAACAATCTTCCAATATTACCAAGCAAAAACATGTATGATAAATCAGTATTTACCAACCTCCATATACAAAACAACATCTACTATGTGCTCTAGAACACGAGGGCCAGCAATATCACCAGTTTTTGTGACGTGTCCAATCTAGAGGAAGAGAAAGAGAGAAAACATAATCAAGGAAACATAATCGCCCATTTTTGCAGGACATAGAATAAATATATCGCAGTGTGTCACTCACCAGGAAAACAGGGATATTTGTCATTTTTGCAAAACTTAACAAGGCAGATGTGCATTCCTTGACCTATGCTCCACACGGAAAATAGGAGATATTTTCAGCAAGCGAAGATATGAATATGAGCATTTGTAAGACTTATATATCACGCTCAGTACCACAATTTATGTTAAATAATATTTGGTTTGCAATCTGTAACCTAGTTCATAAAAATAATTTGTTACTAGATTCAATACCAAAATTCAGAAAATGGGTCAAGTTCTCCAGGATCAGCTACCATGATATGTACTCATGAAGTTGGTTGAGCTGAATTGGACAATTGGAGAGTCAACAAGATAGGAAAAACTACTATAAATGCCACTCTCAATGAACTCAAAATGTAGTAAGAAAATAATCTTAAATGTACTGGTTGAAACACCTGCACTTGATTCCCAGCACTTCCAGCAAACGCTGATAGATAAACTGTCTGAATTGAATCAACAACAAGAGCTTTTGGAGATAATGGCTGGATTTTGTCCAAGATATCCTGTTGAACAAGTGAGAGACATCAATAGCTCATCAATTATGAATCCGTCTCCTAAGATTCTCCCAAGAGGCCAAGATAAAAATTATTTGATTTTCAGCTGGTAAAAAATCTCAAATCACAAGATATGAAATATGAAACGTCTTATTCTAGCATGTTCGTGTTTCCTTAAAACAAAGGTCAATGAACCTAAGAAAATGAGTACATAAATGATGCCAGATAAATAATATTACCTCAATATCTGTACTAGAGTATAGATACAAATCTTTAGACTTGATACTCATCCGGTCAGCCCTATTTGCAATTTGCTCAATGCTCTGCGGATAAAGTCACAATTTAATCAAAAAATGTTCAGGATAATAGCTAATCATAAGAGTGTCATATGGATCAGTCCATGGAGTTTTTGTCAACAATAACACAAAACAGTTAGAACGTGCAGATGATGGAGATTGGACAAGGCTATAACCAACCTCCTCACCGGACACATACACAACAGGAGAAGACCCATGGTCCTCGGAACCTTCAGATACAATAGAAGCAAGCTACATAGAAAAAATGTTGTCAGATTCCAAAGTTAAATAATTAGGTGCAGAAATCCCAAAATGTAGAGTAATTACATCAACTTTAAAATTCACAAGTATAAGTAGATAACCGCATGCAGGGAATTAATGGGTTGAAAACACAGGAAAAGGCATGCCAATGTAACAATTAATAGCCAGATGTGTATCTTTACCTGTAGCATCAATGTACTTTTGCCAACACCTGGATCCCCACCTACTAAAACCAAGGAGCCTGCAAAAGCACATGTGTGATGGCCAACAATGAAAAACAGTAGGTAATGCAGTGATGCCATGAAACACAGAAAGCTTCATGCAACACATGAGGTGCAGTTTTTCCTGGACATGGTCAATGATTCAATGTAATACAAAAATGGAATGACACGAGATCGGAAGCAAATGTAGTGGGCTCAAGCTCACACAAAAACCGTATGGAACTTTTATGTTGCTTGGGTTTCACAACAATCTTTCATTAGTTACAATCTGGCGATCTACAACCAAAAATCACATAGAACTACAACATCCTTCTGGTAATAAATTACCAAACCCTAGTGCTTATATTCAATTCAGACCATGACGAAAACCACAAATTGGAACAACTAAAGCCAGCATCTGATCCATGGAAAAAGTCAGGGCATTAGCTACAAACTGAGTTGAAACATAAAGTTTCATTGTTTTCCCAAGATTTAAATATAATTGTAGTGGTAGGCTGGTAGCCATCGTTTGCAAACACACATGAACCATTAATTTGCATTCTCGTATGAATGAAAATGTGCAGGAGCAGAGGTAGGTACCTGATTCTGGACTCAAAAAGATGGGGAGGAGATTCAGTTGAGGGGTTGTGGCTGAAATGTACAGGGAGTGGAAGGAAAGGGGAGGCTGTGGCTGGTTTGGAGGACCCATGGGGATGTGCCAATGTGGCACATCGTGTATGCAGACAGCGTCCAGGTTAGAGGCTTAGAGCAAGCAGGGGCAAAATATAGGGTTATGTCTATCAGTAACTACTGAATATTCATGTCCAACATGTTATCTGAAACTTGAAACTTATTTCAGCAGACAAACTGAGTAAGAAGAATGGAACAGCAAGAATCTAGACCAGGTGCAACATGTAGGCAGAAGATGCGCGTTCCAAGCCAAATCAAGCAATATTGCAAGATAAAAATAGTCTCGGAATGGAAAGAATGTAAAAGTAGAGAGCTAAGAGCTTATGAGCACATGGCAGTGCTCGGTAGTCTATTTTCACTATGTGTTACGGTCAGCTTCACTCTGAGGCCAATTTTGAGAGGCAAAATAACATATATATTGAAAAGCATTATCTGACTGACACCATATTTGATGAGACATGGGTATCCTAAGCAATCTGAAAGTTTTGGTAGAACTGCATGATGGATGTCAGTATGTCACAGTTCTGAATCTATACAGATACGATCCCTTGACTGATCCTACACCAAGTTTCCTTTCAACCAGTACCAAAGAGGTTAGAGTGATGTTTTACCAGGAACGACGCCACCTCCAAGCACCCGAGAAATTTCATTTCCAAAGGTCCCTGGCCTGGTGAGTAAACAAATAATTCATCAATCTGAACATTTTAACACAATTTATCTACACGGCAGTTCAGAGAACTAAAAACAAGGAAGCCAGCATTCCTCCAAATTCAGACTGAGGGCGAGGAACCTTACAGCGGTATGCGCCAGCCCGCCTGGTCAAACCCCTTGGTGACTTCCCGGAGCTTCTTGGGCACCATCTCCTTGCTCTTCTGCCGAATCCAGGAGCGGCCGGCGTGGTGCGACCCCTCGGCGTCGGCGTCGGCGGAGTCGGCGGCCCCCGGGAAGAACTTGGTGAGGGTCCCCACGGCCTGGCAGCCGCGGCAGGTGCCCCACCACTGCGAGAAGCCGTCCCCGCAGTTGCTGCAGACGTACGAGACCCTCGGCGCCTTGCCGCCCTTCCCCGCGGCCCTCCTCGCGGTGGCCACGTCCGCCCACCTGGGCTCGCGCCTCCCGCCGCTCGGCCTCGCCTTCCGCTTCACCTCCACCACCTCCTCCTCATCCTCGTCCTCCTCCCGGTCGGAGCTGGAAGGTGGAGGGGTAGGGGGCGGGTGCGCCTGCAGGACGATGCGGCCGGCGACGGGGTCGAAGACGCCCCAGGAGGAGTCGGAGTCGGGGTCGGGGT